TATCTATCATTTTCAGTATGTCAGCGCCTCGAGACTCAAATTCTGAAGAATCTGAGAAATAGGGGGAGATATTCATTCATGATGGACTTCTTCTTGAGGTTAAGTTTAACCTCGAAGGGAGCAAAAAGTTGCAGGTACCACAGGTTGACATACGCCGCGACGAAGAAGGGCCAATCGATAGGAACAGATCGTGCCATGATGACAAACCGACGCCTTCCATTCAAAGATGCCATGCTTGAGTCTCAGTACACTAGGAGATTACAGAGAGTTAGTATTAACGTACATTGAGGTTACTAGCTTAAGGTATAAATGCGATCAGATTATGTCGATGACGCAGGTGCAATGTTCGCCAGGTGCTGTATGCAGGTGTGCCGCACTCACTTGATGAGGAGCAGGTGTGCCGCATTACAATGTGCCCCGAACGATGTGTCACGTTGTCGAGCATACATTCACGAAAGGTAATAACCAATACAGCTAGTTATCCTCATTTGTGCATATGTGAAGCTCTGAAATCTTCCGTGTGTACCTGCGACAGGAGTCTTCACCACCAGCATTCAGATTGGAGATCAGCCAGCAGCCAGGAGATGATGACCAATACGCTTCAGAGTTTCGTTTTGAGATCATATTTTATTAGTGGAACACTTTATTTTAGAAAGTGTCCATTCTCAGTCAGCAGTAATCAACAATTCACTTAATTGTGAATTGATGTATCTTCAGTTCAGATCAAGTCTATTATTCAGTATTAAAATATTGAATTTTCAAGTCATGTAATCAGTAAGTAAAAGCTTTAAGTTAAGCTTATACATTCCAGTTTTAGTATTTCCGAGGACGGAAATTTTTTAAGGGGGGTGGATTGTAACGCCCCATATTTTATTAATAAAGGAAAGTACTAGCTTTTAGTTTTAAGCTAGCCTTTATTAATAAATAATCATGTTCATGTTCAAGTTCAGGTTAATCAGTCAGTTATATTCTATGTTCGACTATTAGTCGATAAGTTATTCGGTTTCATTAATTCAGTAACCGAATAAGTTTTCAGATTTAATTCCTATTCATTTACTTAATTAATGAGTTCGGAATTAATAAGTTAAGTTAACGAATTATCCGAAATATCGATATTCGGATCAATCGTCCAAGTCATGAATATTCGGATTAACTTTCGAAGTCATGTTCACGTTTGGATTAATTATGGTAATTAAATACCGAGTTAATCAAATCATCATTTATCAAAGTTAAGCAATCTTAAGCTCATTAATTAAGCTCATAATCGAGCTTAATAATCATTAGTTACGGTTATGTCTAAATGCCATGAATAATGCCCACAATTGTTCCAATTCTCTTAATTAAAGCCGTGAGCATTATATTATAATGCAACCAAGTCATGATCATTTACGACTCATTATATTCAATTTCTTTTTTGTGAAATTTCTTAAATCTTCATAAGCATGAGGTGTCATTACTTTTATTCTCTAAGGTCATGACTAAGCTCTCATTGTATTTTAAGCAAGACATGTGTCCCAAAATTCTTCCACTCCTTCATTAGCTCTCGGCCATAGATATATATATATATAGTGATGTGGTTAGAATTTTGGGGGTATGTTTGAGTTATTAAGTTAGCATATATTCATATATTCAGCATATATTTAGTACTTATATATAGAGAGAGTAAGGGAGAGCAGCACTAGCACACACTCACACATACTCACGCACGCGAAAAACGCACACGAGGCGTGCGGCATAAGCACACACACCGAAAGTATCGCACGACACGCAAGGAAGCACCGAGCTTCAAGAGGTCACGGACATCTTGTGTGATCAGCCTAATGTTCATGAGGTAATTTAGTTTACCTTGGATTATTTGTTAAGGTCATGATAGTTCCGATTTGTTTCGGTCATGTTCATGGCACGGCTTTAAGCCGTTCGATTGTGTGAGTGCATAATAAGTGTGTTCATGCTTTGATGTGTATATCTCTCGAGTAATTGTCATGTAATAAGTCCTTTTATGTTATATCATGTTCAGTTAAGCTTACGTGTTCAAAGAATTTTCATGTTTATTCATGGTGTCGGCCGAGGGGTAGGGCCGCGCATGTAGCGCGTACTGCGGGCCGTGCATGCCTAGCTATTGTGTTTATCCTTCGAGCTATTCATATCTAATTGTTCAGAACATAGTATATTATGCTCAGTTATGTGTTAATTGCCGAGGGAAGTTCATGTTTAGTCGAGGGATAGGCTTAACGCCGAAACCGCGTGCACGGTGTGCGCGTCTTTCGAGTCCGACGAGCATAATTCATGAGTTTGATAGAAATTAGTATGAATGATCATTTTATATCATGTTATTTCATATTGTTTTGGTCGGATGAAATAGCCGGACGGCCGGCAAAAGAGCCGACCGTGATGCCTGTC